ATATATATATTATATATGTATATATATATATAATTATATATATGTATATATATATTATATATATATAATATATATATATATTATATGTACATGTATATATATATATATGTATATATATATATATGTATATACATATATATATATATGTATATATGTATATATATATATTATATATATATATATAATATATATATATATATATATATATATATATATATATATATATATATATATATATATATATTATATATATATATATATATATATAGCGGATGCGAAAGGTACGCCAGTAAAATATCACGTCAAGTTCAGAGAATTTATTAATGATATTATACAATACTCGCGAGTAAAATAAGATTTACAGATCAGACAGCTTTACCACTCTCGCTGTGACCTCACGCAGAGACAGCAACGCACTCCGGTGAAATAAAGTTAAGTTACTCGCTACAGAAAGACTTTACTTGTCGTGGGGTTCTGTGCCAGTGTGACAGGGCCTTAAGCCTCGAGGCTATCACTCAGCAAGGGGAAAAAAGTGATTAGAGTTGAAATGGAGAGAGAACCTGCAGTGAAAGACGTTCTAACGATCCTTTTCAGACCATTACCTCGATTCATGAACACAATTTATAGTAAACGATTTGTAAATTTGTAAACAATAGGCGGTATAGTGAAGCAATTAAAAGCCAATAGCCCTTTGGCATTATCAATTTTTCAGAGACAGAATCAAACAAAAGGATTTTAAATTGGTAAATATTACCGAAACAGTATGTAGTACACACAGGCCCATTGTAAGTAAAATAACAATGGGTTGAACAAGAAAACACTAATACGCCGAAGGCCTTCTCGCTTTACTGCTTCTTCATAACCTGTAGGAACAACAAAGGGAAGTCCTTCGAGATATTCGTGCATTTTCTTGTTGTTCGTCCTCCGTCGTTTGTTCAAAATTCCTGCACTTAGGCCTATAAATGATTCCCTGAGGATTGCGATGGTCGTCTAAGGACAGTCAGAGGCGCTTCCTTCTTCCTCATTCGGGTCAGGAAGGTCACGCTGAAATTAACAGATAAAAAAAATTATCTACAACAAAAAAACATTATCAATAATAATCATAATAATATAGTATTACTGTTGACATTTTCATGGTAATGACGATACATTATAATAATAATAGTTGTCATAATCATGATGTGTATTTCCAAGACTCTCAGCCGTTACCTGCGCGGTCGCGGGAACACCCGAGTCTTCCAGCTCCGCGACGGTGTCCTTCATGGCGACCCCTCGAGTCTCCGGCAGCCGGGACGTGATCCCAGCCGCGAACCAACGCCGCTCCCCGAAGGTTACGAGCGGCACCACGATCCGATGGAACCCTGAGGAGGATGTAGAAACCCCCGATGCATATTTTGAGTTTGAGGATCGTTGTTCTGCTCCTGAAAGTGAGAGAAGGGGAGGAAGGAGGAGAGAAAAAAAGAGAGAGAAAAGACAGACGGATAGAAAGGCAAACTTCCGAGAGAGAGGGAGGGTGTTAGATATAAGGTTAATATTAGTCCTGTCTTAACGCGTAGATTCTTCAAGTTAACACAGGCTACTTTCCATGTCCAATCATAATAAGAAATAAAATGAAAAGAATAAGAACGAGCTTGTATCATCCCACAGGATTTCCACCAGGAAAGGGACTGTGATGGAGCCGATTTTAGCCACCATCGCGCACGTGCTCATGCCTCGCTGTCGGACCTCTGTCGGGAAGAGCTCGTTCGCGTGGAAGTAGAGAATCATGTAGGCTGCGGTGATGGCCAGTTTCCCAATCATGATCATCGTTGTCACCAGCCAGCTAATACCTGCGGGGAAATATTCCAAGGTATGTGTCACATATATAGGTTATAAAACTATTTTTTTTGTCTCATGTTTAATATATTAAACTTAATTGGCGTGGTAGTCAGTTCCCTTCATATGATCATAATTATCACCTAAGGACATATATCTGCGAGAAATATCCCAATCAACGCATCACACACTCAGAATAGGTGCAAAGGCCGTCGCAGATCACAAAAAAAAAAATCCTCCTTACCCATCTCTCCTAATTCATCACTTACACTCCAAACACTCAACCCTGAGGGCGTCATCAGAAGCAGCGAGGGACAAACGCTCCTCTGGGCTGACCACTAAAACACATGATATTACGAAGGCTTGACTTTTTTACCCACCATGGTTTCCGGATCAAGAGGCAATCGTCAGAGTGGTTGATTTATTAGCCATTTGTCTCCTTTTTCCTAAGATCACGTCCCGAGAGCCATGTAGGTTAGCGGAAGAGGGCTCGCTCGGTCCTCAGAACCGGTCGTGGGTTTCCATTTAGTTGACAGGCTCGTCCGCAAATTAGATACACCTGTAGTCTTAACTTTCAGGAGGGGTATAATAGTTTGGATGGGCAATCGTAGAGGCACTACAGCGTTATATCCGGATCTTTTTGGTTCTAGAAGAGGATGCTGTTGTTTTTTTTAAGGTTGATGTGAATTGCTTTGTTGCTACTACAGATGTGAAGGGGATTTTATTCTTTACAAAGTACATAATTTAACTTATTGCATTAATGAAATCCAATTAACAATTTATTATTATGATTTTGAGCTATTGATATTAGTTTTGACTAATTATTTATTTTTTAATTGACTTCAAATAGGGTCATAATCCAACGATCCGTGAAAGTAATAATTTTTTAGGTGTTTTGATAATGATGATGGTGATAAAATATTAGATGATAAGTTATTAGAATTGACCCACATGAATGAACAATAATAAAATGTTCAATATACACATAAATAATATGACAAGATATATATATGTTGAGATAAATTCTTATAACACATGGGGGAGATTGATTTTATTAATTTGTAGTTATGATATAGTTTAGGTTATATTGATATATGTATATAGGTATTTTATTTTAAGTTGGTAGTTATACTGTTAAATTACAGTACATTATAATCATACATTGATATTAATATAATTTTATATATGTTATATATTATGTAATATTATACAATAGTTTTATATATATATTGCTTTTTTGAGGTTAGTATATAATATTTATTTATAGATTATTTTGGTATCGATTGATATTCATTATTTTTATTGGGTCGTGAATGTGTGTATTATTGAATACAGGTTACATAAAAAATAAGCAAATAAAAAAGTCAAATGAGAATGGCATAGAAGATACCAGCACCCCAAGACCGAGGCGCCATCCGACGAACCCCGACAGAGATTTGGCCGTATATTACTTTTGATCAAATCTCAAGATACGACTTATTTCTTCAGACGTTTGGTCACGTCTCTCTAGGGTCGCCTTCAGTTATCACGCTGGTTTGAAAAGTCTGTTTATTGCCTGTGGCCCTGTTGGTGTTCCTTGTTCCTGTGTACTGTTGCAATTGCGATGTAATGGTGTATTGGTTTGGTTTGTGATTTAACCAGGGAATTGGTTTGGGGGTGAATGGGATTTTATCATCTCATGGGATATTGATGTTATTGTATTTTTTTTTTGGGTTATGGTTTTTCAAACCAGGGAATTTGGTGTGGTAATGGATGAATTGTGAATCTTTCATTTGTTTGGAGATTGGTGTTGGTTGGGTAATGGATTTTCAACAGGAATTGGTGGGTAATGGGTAGTTTTTTACCACTCGATTGATTGTTTCGGGAACTTGTTGGTGCGGTAATTTTGTGTATTTTAATTGGTACTTGACGCCGAGGATTTGTAGAGAGTTTTTATGATAGTATTTTTTGTTCGATATTTTATTGTTTCGGTTTTGTTTTTTTTTTGTAGTCTTACAGATTGTGTGGGATATGTAAAATATTTAAGGTTTATTTAGATATAGTATGTTAGTGGCTGATATTTTTTTGTATGGCGTCTGGGTAATTTCAATCATCTTAACATTGTTATCATGTTGAGGTCTATATGACCGAACCAGGAGTAGTGATAGGTTGGAGGTAGCTTACTAACATAGAGAAAGTGGTTTTGGTTGCACAAGGTTTGATGATAAAAATTATTAAATAAAAAAAAATATTATATATATATACATATATATAGTATATATTGTTATTATTTTATAATATTTTTATATTAGTATTTTGGACAGTATACATGTGTACATAAATACTACTTTTTATAGATGTTATTATATATATATATACTTACTTATATATAGATATTACGTTAATATGTATAAATTGTGATTATTAAACCCTCTGTATTAATTATATAATTGGCTAATAATACTTGTTTAGTTAATGCCTTTGTGTTATCAATTTGCATGATTTTCACGTTAATTTTCTTAAATACAGTATAATTGGTTTTAATACAGTGGCAGTATTTAAATATTGTTTACTAAATGAGTTTCAAAATTTGACTTAACAATGAACAAATTTTCTAAACTGTTTAAATTCAAAAACAATTGAATTTCAGCCACCAGGTGTCTCTACTAGCCATGTGCAGCCAACCACCAGTCATATTTATTATCACAAGGTATCTGATGTAAACATACGTTAATGTATATGTTCATGTATGTGGTGTTTGTGTAATGAGTGACTTTCCGCCCAGAATTTGGAGATCAGGAAATTATGATTATGAACAATGTTTTTTTTTTTTCTTTTTTGTTGTCAATCTGGCAGGCGGTAGGAAATATTATCTTGAGTTATTTAATAATAGTTTTTTTTTGCGTTACGATCTGCTCGAACGGGAAATGTGATTTCCGACAAAAATATGTGCTTAGGACATGTACTTTTTTTTTTGTTTTCTTTTTTTTTACTAGGTCTATTTTCTTTCTTTGTCGAGCACACACACTAACAAATAAACAGACAACATTCACCACTAAAAAACATTTGAAAGTCCTGCTCTTGCCTTCAACCTATTTCTAAATTCCTAACTCAGCCTCTGAAACCTATTTCTAAATTCTTAACTCACAATTTGAAATCCATTTCTTAATTTTCAAAACCTATTTCTTAAATTATCCTCTGAACCTAAATTCCTAAATTCTAAACCCCTCTGAAACTTATTTCTGAATTCTTAAGGCATCCACTCAAAACTATTTCAAAATTCCTTATTCAATTCTTAGGAACCTACTTCTGGATCCTTAAAAACTGCATCCCCTCAAACCTATTCCAAAATTCCTAACTCATTCTCTGGAACCTACTTCTCAATCCTTAAAAATGCATCCTCTCAAACCTATTCCAAAATTCCTAAATCATTCTTTGGAACCTATTTCTTAATTCCTCAGAAACCTATTTCTTAATCTATCCTCTGAACCTAAATTCCTAAATTCTAAACCCCTCTAAGACCTATTTCTGAATTCTTAAGGCATCCACTCAAAACCTATTTCAAATTCATAAATCATTCTTTAGAACCTATTTCTCAATCCTTAAAATGCATCCAACTCAAACCTATTTCAAATTTCCTAACTCACTCTCTGGAACCTACTTCTCAATCCTTAAAAAATACATCCTCTCAAACCTATTCCAAAATTCCTAACTCTTTGGAACCTACTTCTCAATCCTTAAAAATGCATCCTCTCAAACCTATATCCAAAATTCTAACTCCTTCTCTGGAACCTATTTCTCAATCCTTAAACATGCATCCTCTCAAACCTATTCCAAAATTCCTAACTCATTCTTTGGAACCACTTCTCAATCCTTAAAAAATGGCATCCTCTAAAGCCTATTCCAAACTTCCTAACTCAATCTTTGGAACCTACTTCTGGATCTTAAAAAATGCATCCTGTCAAACCTATTCCAAAATTCCCAACTCATTCTTTAAACCTATTTCTGGATCCTTAAAAATGCATCCTCTCAAACCTATTCCAAAATTCCTAACTCATTCTTTGGAACCTATTTCTCAATCCTTAAAAATACATCCACTCAAACCTATTTCAAAATTCCTTATTCAATTCTTAGGAACCTACTTCTGGATCCTTAAAAATGCATCACTCAAACCTATTCCAAAATTCCTAACTCATTTTTGGAACCTATTTCTCAATCCTTAAAAATACATCCTCTCAAACCTATTCCAAAACTCCTAACTCACTCTCTGGAACCTACTTCTCAATCCTTCAAAAATACATCCTCTAAAACCTATTCCAAAATTCTAACTCCTTCTTTGGAACCTCAAACCTATTCCAAAATCCTAATCCTTCTTTGGAACCTCAAAACCTATTTCCAAAATTCCTAACTCCTTGGGAACTCAACCTATTCCAAAAATCCTAACTCCTTTGGAAACCTCAAACCTATTCCAAAATTCCTAATCCTTCTTTGGAACCTCAAACCTATTCCAATTCCTAACTCCTTCTTTGGAACCTCAAACCTATTCCAAAATTCCTAACTCCTTTCTTTGGAACCTCAAAACCTATTCCAAAATTCCTAACTCCTTCTTTGGAACCTATTCCAAAATTCTAACTCCTTCTTTGGAACCTCAAAACCTATTCCAAAATTCCTAACTCTTCTTTGGAACCTAAACCTATTCCAAAATTCCTAACTCCTTTGGAACCTACTTCTCAATCCTTCAAAATGGCATCCTCTCAAGCCTATTCCAAAATTCCTAACCTAAGCCTCTACCTCTGACTGCGTGTCCGCCATGATCTCGAACAGCTGATCGTCTGGCGGAAGCTCAACCTTATTCCAGCGTGAGGGCTTTGCGGAGGACACGAAGGGCGTCGGCGTGGCGGCCTCGCACAATAAGCCATCTCGGTGATTCGTCCATTAGCCTGTTTGTCGAGGGAAATGTTGGTGTTAATCATTTTGAGGGAATGTGTTTATTTATTTTATTTTTTATTTTTTTAGAAAGGTGTTTTTGCTTGATTTTGTATTCTCCAAATGTTAAGGAATTTTCAGTTGGTGTTTACATTTTTTTTAAGGACAAAGGTGTTTTTATTTGATTTTGTATTCTCCAAATGTTAAGGAATTTTCAGTTGGTGTTTTACAAATGTTTTTTTTTCGGATAAAGGTCTTTTGCTAGATCTTATACTCTCTAGATGATAAGGAAGTTTTGTTATTTCAAGGTCCGTCCCATACACGAAAAAAAAAAATATATAATTCGTCCAACATCCATATAATTAAAATACCTAGAAGAAAAAAACCCACTAATTATTGTAGAAAAAAAACTAAACTGACCATAGCACGGGCAAATACAGAAGCCCCGGCATAGACACGGTGAACATAAGCCACCGCCAGTCCCTCAGCAGATAACCAAAGCCTCCAAGGGTGATGAGGGAGAAACACCAAGGTAAATAGACGATGATTCCGATGATGGACCTTAGGCGGGGTTCACAAGTCTCCATGACTGTTTGAGAGAGAGAGAGAGAGAGAGAGAGAGAGAGAGGAGAGAGAGAGAGAGAGAGAGAGAGAGAGAGAGAGAGAGAGAGAGAGAGAGAGAGAGAGAGAAGAAAGTTAGTTTCACCGTGTTTTTTGTTTTTTTCTTTTCTTTCGTTTGGATCGTTTTGTTTTAACTTGTTCTGATTATTTTAATGTTTTTAATTTCATTTTATTTATCTGCATCTTGAGAGAAAGAGAAAGAAAATGACAATTAAAGGATTATTTCCCCTTGCGGATTACTATTGCTTAACTTACTGATTTTCTGTTCTTTTTTTCTTTTAATTATTACCCTTTTTCTTTCTTCCTCTCTCTCTCTTTCTTTTTAAATACGTTGCAAAACCATCAACATAATCGCAAATAATGACTTACCTAGACTGTACCCGGTTTCGGTGGAGGAAGGATGACCGACCCATGAAAAAGCGCGCGAACAAGATGGCGGACATGTTGGGCAGCCAGGACAGGGCATTCCCCAGGATGACGAAGGTAAGTACGCCCGCCATGTGCATCGTCTTACGCCCATATCTGTGCATTTCGTTAATGGAGAGAGGTTAGGCAATCGGTCTGTATTTTCTACGGGAAGGTATGTGGAATTGAAGGTTGGTATTCAGTTTCGTAGACATCGTGTGTGTGTGTGTGTGTGTGTGTGTGTGTGTGTGTGTGTGTGTGTGTGTGTGTGTGTGTGTGTGTGTGTGTGTGTGTGTGTGTGTGTGTGGTGTGTGTGTGTGTGTTGTGTGTGTGTGTCGTACGATACGACCCTAGCGGAATATCAATGACCTCCGCCCTTGACCCAGATTGACCCAACAGAATGCATCCAGCTCTTGACCTCTTAACCGCTCAGGCACCGACCCAGTCTACATTGTCTCGTTTGTTTATCAGTACATTGTACTCTTTCTACAAGTAAAAATTAAAGTTATACGTACCAGTCTGTTACTGTTCACCGGTACATCCTAACAAGCTTCTTATAGTCTACGAGTGTGTGTGCGTATGTTTCTGTGTATATGTGTGTATGTACTTTTCTGTGTATGTGTGTACGGTCCTGTGTGTGTTTCTGTGCGTGTGTGTGCGTTTCTCTCTGTGTGTATACGTTTCTATGCGTGTGCGTTTCTGTGTGTTGTGTGCGTTGTGTGTGTGTGTGTGCGTTTCTGTGTGTGTGTGTGCGTTCTCTCTGTGTGTATGCGTTTTCTGTGTTCTGTGTGTTTCTCTGTGTGTGTGTGCGTTTCTCTCTGTGTGTATGCGTTTCTGTGTGTGTTTCTGCGGGTGTGTTTCTCTGTGTGTGGTGTGCGTTTCTCTTGTGTGTGGTGTGCGTTTCTCTCTGTGTGTATACGTTTCTATGTGTGTGCGTTTCTCTGTGTGTGTATGCGTTTCTATGTGTGTGTATACGTTTCTATGTGTTGTATGTATATGTGTTTCTCTGTGTGTGTGTGTGCGTTTCTCTGCGTGTGTGTGTATACGTTTCTATGTGTGTATGTATACGTTTCTATGTGTGTATGTACGTTTCTATGTGTGTGTGTGCGTTTCTCTGTGTGTGTGTGTGCGTTTCTGTGCGTGTATGTGCGTTTCTATGTGTGTGTATACGTTTCTATGTGTGTGCGTTTCTGTGTGTGTGCGTTTCTCTGTGTATGTATACGTTTCTCTGTGTGTGTATGTGCGTTTCTCTGTGTGTCTCTGTGTGTGTATGTGCGTTTTCTCTGCGTGTCTATACGTTTCTCTGTGTGTATGTATACGTTCTCTCTGTGTATGTGCGTTTCTCTCTGTGTGTATGTATGCGTTTCTCTCTGTGTGTATGTGCGTTTCTCTGTGTGTGTATGCGTGTCTTAAGAGAGAACTAGTTTACCTGTCTGAGACCCAGCCATTTAAGACTGACCCCACAAAAGCTCCCAAGAAATAGACGCTCTTGAAGGTCGCTCGAAGAAAACTGTAGTCGCACACGAGGTCAAACTAAATCGTAAAAAATAAAATCATTGTATCAGATCGAATGACTGTAATTATCTAAACTCACTGTGTCCATTAGATCAAAATCAATTAACCTTTTTCTTGTATGTCAGAATTGTTATTACGTATTTTTACGCATTAAATTATTCATAATTGTTTGAGTCATTAATCAGTATAACAAATGATTTTGAGATAATGTCAATTAATCATCTGTAAATGTCCAAAATATAAGTGATAGATTAAGAATGATTAGATAAATTCTAATGAAATTAGAACATTAAACGTTACATATAATCCTAATACTGTATTGATCAAATCATCTGTATATGCATTAGAGAGTTATATTGTAGACATATATCAGTATAAGGTATTGGTGTTGTCGTAAAATGATGTAGATGTATTGAGTAGTGTTGAAAATACAACTTCGAAAGTTTATAGTTAATCTATATCATAACATTATTAATAGATCTGTAATTATTATTAGATGTATCTGTCATGGGGAATGTTATATTTATTATGATGTTATAGGTTGAGATGAGTGGTTGCATATATAATTGCTGAGTCTAGTGACTAACAGTGAAGATTTTAAATTATGTGATAATATGTAATCTAGTCAAAAATCGGATTCCTTGATGTAGATAATAGTGTCATAATTTAATATTAATTATTCTAAAGATTAAATTCAAGTATAGTATTTTCAAAATCATTAGTATTGTTGTATTTGATCCAATCAGGATTTTGATTGAGCTACGATTAACACTTATATGTATCTTTTCCATATAACACTCATTGAGTGAACGTAAATGTCCAGAACACATTAGTAGCAGTTACAATAAATCAACTTTGGTAAGTGCTTCAAAGTCAGTGTAACTGGGCTGTTTCTTATCAAAATCATTATATCTGCGGAAATCGTTGCAAAATTTACTCTAGATAGAGATCAGACTGTGAATTGTATACTCGTCAAAGTGGGCATTTACTCATTTCAGTAGTCAAAATTTATTAGATTAGATTAGATTAAAACTTGGCTCGATTTTCAAAAGTCAATTAATAACCAACCAGCACCACCACATACATGGCGCTCCCGCACTCCCGCGGCACCCCATCCGTGGAACACGTTTCGTATCTCATACAAATAACATCCGTTCATAAGACCCGCAGACCACTACAGAATTACTACGGGTCTATATACGAATAGGCTCCACAGACAAAATCAGTCCTACAACATGATCACTCGCCCCTAGGTACTAGCACATTACATTATACTCTCATCAGTGAAAAGGATCCAGTTAGTACGATCACCAATAATCGATCACAAATATAACTAACGGACACCATATCATTCACACTCACATTATAGGCTTCTCACTCCCAATCTACCCCACCGATTAGTACTTAACAACTCACGTAACACCATATACAATACATATCTAAACATACGCATCAGTCCAGAGACTTGATCTCACTAACAATCTAAATTAAATGCGAGTATGAACATACGCACAAACTCCTACACTTAGCTAATTACTGAAAACCCATCGAAATAATTTAACATGTCAACCACCGAACTGACTATAACGCGATTAAAATTTAAACCCATAACACCTCACAAGACACGATAGAAACGATGTAAACTACCACAAGTCTGGTAGACGTACTAGAAGCGCACCACACCTATCAGGAGTAGTCCGAGTAAATCTTCAATCAGGTTTACAACCCACAGTTACTATAGTCACCTCGGTATACAACAACCACTCCTGGAGATCCTAAGTGGATGTAATGTCACACGTGTGAACACATCGCGAGCACCGATGAACAACGAGAGACAACTAGACACACAAGAAGGAGGTTAAAAATGCGATTATATACATGAACATGCAGAGAGAGACTAGAATGAACGCAGTGACGAAGGGAGCGGATTATCGATGCGTAGGTTGATAAAAATTAATAGCGACACAATGAGCGAATGCCACACAATTGATTGACAGACATGAGTGATAGATGCTTTGGGTACGAGCATCCGCAGATGGCAAATGCGATAGATAACGTTGACTAGACTACAATGGGAATAGCAATGCGAATGGAACACAGCAGTATGAGTATATATAAATGCGCGGCTACCAATCACACAACAGGAGAAAGACTACGACCGTCAGGATAAGACACTACCACAACGAAAGGCGATGAAACCCGATGCATATAACACGCAAGAAGGCAGAATAAACGCGACGACAACAAGCTACAGAAAACGCACGACATGACAGATGGACGCAATAATCATGAGGTATACATGAAAGAATCAATGCTGGCTGATGATAATAATAACAATGATCAGATGCACTCATGAACATAAACACCATACAGAAAACGCACACGCGAAGGATAAAGATGACAACGGAATATACGATAACAACAACAGCAATAATGAGAGAGAGAGAGTCACTAAATCACATCGATTTTTGGAGACAACCCCACTACACACCACATCGCACAGAATCCAGAAACAACAAGCCCTTCTACAGATGAGATAAACCAAGGATACTGACAAAAACAATAACCCATCGCATAATACACATGGACGTTAGCAGGCGAAGAGGGCAAAGACGAGTAGAAAGTGTGCCAAAAGATTACAGACTTTTTATATAACGTGAATAAAATGGATAAAGGATTTTTCCCATACAAACCGATACATATTCGGACCTATGAAAGGCGCCCTTCAGATAACATACATGCAAACATAGATGGTTATGTTTATATATTTAGTATATATTATATACGTACCACACAACCTATAATAATTACACTACGTAGATACTATATATATATGTCATGTATAATGATATATGTAATAGATGTATATAGTAATAGCTGTATATATTATTATAATATTAGGTTTAGTAGTATATATAATTTAATACTACATATGAGGTGGAACCAGTAATATTAAATATAATATAGTGTTGTATGTATGTATATCGTGTAGTGGTATATGCTATTGATATCTTATTATATTATATAATACATATTATATATTTAAATTTTGTTATTATATATAAGAATACAATAAGATATTATACTATAATAATGTATACTGAGAATATATAAACACATATACCGATAGCATGATATTATAGTAGCACGGCGACACGACATCACACACAGCATCACACACACACACACACAGTCACACACCAACCTGAGAGCCAGAGTACACACATTTCTACAATTATAGTAAAGGGTATTATATACATATATATAAAGACTATTAAGTATATAGTATATATATATTAGCATGTTGTGTGTGTTGTGTTGTGTGTGTGTGTGTGTTGTGTGTAGTGTATGTATGTAAGTTCTGAGTATAGTATTCTAGTGAGGTTTCCATATACCTGAGGAGTATGACTGATAGGTCATTTCATTATTCGATTATGTGTAAGCGGTAATATAATATATGAGTAATCATTCCGATACTAACATACATATATATAACGTAGTTAGTTAACTGATACCTGTATATTAATCGACTAGTATAATATCACTACCCACAAAAAATACGGTACGTCACACATCTATAATATACCATACATCAATCCAATAATACACACACACCCACACACAGACACCACCAACACACACAACGCACGCAACTCACACAACGGCACTAACACACATCACCTCAACACATGCACAGATCACACACTAGTCGTACCACTAAGTCTGACTAACGTATATGTATATACGACTACCATACACAACAAACACAAAAACTTTCACACCGTATACCATACATACATGCATACTATACATACATACACCATATAATCATACACATACACACATATACATATACCACCAACGCAAATACTATACAGATGTATATATTATAATCACGACCACTATAACTATAATTCAGGAAATAACCAAATACTTCTGATGTATGCGTGTGTGTGTGTGTACGAGTAATGCTTGTGTGTGTCGGTCATGTAATACGTAAAATACCCATATATACAGCCCTATATAGGAGAGGATTAGCCTAAATCCTCTCTCCTTTAAGAAATGGCTATAAATACTAAATATTGTGCGCGGATGTAAGTCCGATATGTTGATCGTACAATACAATAAAGTTGGTCTGGCTATTCTTAAGTAATCGCCTATTCTATCTTATACAGTATATTACACATGTATTTTATATATCACACATATAAATATGACCACAATGGAGAGATACAGTATATTGACATTGGTACTTAGTACAACATGATGAAAAGAACAGATTGCCCCTGCGCCAGATAAGTCAACTAAACACAACACATTATCAGAGAAAAAAAAAAAGTTTCGACATCCACGTGCACTCATCTTCATATCCGAGGACACAAGAGCAAAAAAAAACAGCTGATAAGGACAGTGGAGAGCAACAGGTGATAATAAGGGCAGGGGGGTTGATAAGCACACGGAAGGAGGGTTGTGTGTGTGTGTGTGTGTGTGTGTGTGTGTGTGTGTGTGTGTGTGTGTGTGTGTGTGGTCAGTGTGTGTGTGTTGTTGTGTGTGTGTGTGTGTTGTGTGTGTGTGTGTGTGTGTGTAAGTAAGTTGGGTCAGTTCAGGTCAGTTGGAAGTAGTTGGTTTAAGGTCGTTGTTTGAAGATGTGGAAAGCAAGGGTGTCAATTGGAGAAAAGTCGATGTTTACGTCACGGATTTAAGAATGGCATCCGTTGGAGAAGAATCAATCTGTAGGTTAAAATTAAGCAGGGGTGATATCCGTTGCAAAAATCGCCGTTGGGTTAACAGCAACAAAGAGGTCACGCATTGGGGAAAAGGCGTTACTTAGGTTAACATTAAGCAGTTTAAGATAAGAAATAAATATATAAAGGCAGCCTGTTAGGATGAGATTTTCCCACAAGTCTGCGGATGTAGAAGTGGCAGAGATGACACACCCGGTTCAAGGGTCTTTGGTCACCCAGAGAAGACAGCCAGGGAGGAATCAGTTACCTTGGACCTTAAGTCGTATAATGAACTTTTTTATCGGTGTGTGTGTGTATGTGTATGTATGTGCACACACGCACAAACACACACACACACACACACTCACACACACACACTCACTCACACCAAAAACACACACAAACACACACACACACACGCAAGCAACTCACACACACACACAAGAACCAAACACACACACAAACACAACACACACACGCAAGCAAACTTACACACACACAAAGAACCAAACACACACACAAACAAACACACACACGCACACATACACACACAGATATTGACAGACTGATAAATGTTAAGAAGAATGTAGACAGATATGTAGACAGAGACGATATACACACAAAACAAAACACTGAAGGAAAACGCACACATAGATACGTCCATTACATAAGTCTGCCTCTAATTTTAGATTAAAAAGTAATATTTTGCGTTCCGAATCCTTTTGGCATAAATCTTCCTCATACAGATCATATAAATATATATCTTGTAAATATATATCTTATACAGATCTTGTAAACTGCCTCTTTAACTGAAGCTTCAGAAATGGTCTACCTGTTTTGAGGAATGTCTGAAGCGACGCAGGTGAACTTTTGGTGTGGAGTGAGGAAAGCCGCACCCATGCTGTGGAAAGGAACCTGCAGTGCCCCTGAAAATATGTACAAAAAAAAAAAAAAAAAAAAAAAAAAAAAAGAGAGAGAGAGAGAGAGAGAGAGAGAGAGAGAGAGAGAGAGAGAG